CCTTATGCTCAGTGAAATAATCCAGGCAGAGAAAGACAAGTATCAAATGATTTCATTCATCTGTGGAGTATAAGAACAAAAAAAAATACTGAAGGGACAAAACGGCAGCAGACACACAGAACCCAAGAATGGACTAACAGTTAGCAAAAGGGAAAGGGACTGGGGAGGATGGGTGAGAAGGGAGGGACTAGGGGCATTACAATTAGCACACATAATGTGGCGGGATGGGGCACTGGGAAGGTAGTATAGCACAGAGAAGACAAGTAGTGATTCTACAGCATCTTACTACACTGATGGACAGTAACTGTAATGGGTTATGTGGTGGGGACTTGATAATGGGGGGAATCTAGCAACCACAGTGTTGTTCATGTAAATGTATATGAATGATACTAAAATAAAACATAAAAAATAAAAATGTAAGACAATGACAAAAATATATATAACCCTTCCAGAGGAAGAAACTCAAACACACTTGAAACAACTGCTGTAGAGTAAAACATATACTGAGGAGTCAGGTCTCTCCCATAGAAATATCCTCTGGTAAACTGGTGTAATTTACTCAGCATTACAAATGCCAGTTGCTCCTATTTACTGGAGAATATCTTTACATGAAAAATAAAGAATGTAAAATCCCTAATTTAACATAACTTTTGTTAACTCAGTAATGCTTGTTACCTTAGAATTCATTATATTTTTTACATTATTTATTAATTATCAGTGGGCCTGTTACACCAAGGCCTACAGCACTAAAGATGTAGTTATAAATGTAGTAGATCTCCTTTCAATCCTGAGCAGAGAAAGTTCCCCTAAAGGCAGACAGCCGCAGGTGCTCCCTGATATAGGACTCACTTAGAAACTGAGTTAAAGGTATAATTCCAGCTGTAAGTACTCTAGTCCGTTATGTATTCTTTTATTTCTTCATTCACACAAAAACTTAACAAGTACCATCTGTATTTCAGACACTGTATATTCTATACCAGAGATATGAAAATATGTAAGATAGTCTTTGACTTTGAGGAGTTCACAGACCATGCTAGTGACAGAGATATATATATGTAAATAGTTACTTAGAGATTTTGCTTTTGTTGGGCTGCTGTGGGGATGTGGAGTGGGTCAAGCCCACAGAAAATCCAGCTGGAGCAGGGTACCTGGCAAATGAAGAGAGTAGCAGAAATGCATCACAGGAGACACCAGTCCCTGCTGCCCTTGTCCACCAGCCATGTCAAGAATATATAATTCCTGAGCAGTTCAGCTGGGCTCATCTAAAACTTAACTCATTGTCCAGCTCCCTCACACAACAAAAAACCTTCTTCTCTACATGGATTCCTAGGTTGGTGACTGGCACCTCCATTCATACAATCACCCCAGCCAGAAACTAGGAGGCGTCCTAGTCTGCTCCTTCACTCCCTATATAGCCAACCAGTAATCAGGAACTGTTACAATTTCTCTAGCCTCTCTTCTGTTCCTCTTTTCTAAGCCCTGCTATATATTGCTACCTCAAACAAGCCCTCAAATTTGGACATCTAGAGTTTTCTCCCAACTGATGTGTCTCCCCATCTTGAGACTTGCCTCCTTTCAGTCTATCCTTCCCATATCAGTTTAAAACATAGGAGTGGCCCTACTTAGAGGAAAAGTTCTTAACTCCTTAGTGTCATGTATAGGTAAAGAGTGCTAAAGCTTAAGCCAACCTGCTTGGATTCAAATTCTGCCTCCACCAATCACTAACTGTCTAGGGCCAGTCACTTAGCCACTCAGTGCCTCAGTTTACTCAACTGTAAAATTGGGATAGAAATGGAATCTATCAGAGGGTTATTATGTGCGTTAATTGAATTAATAGTGTACATATAAAGTGCTTACCAGTGTCTGGCACAGAATAAACACACAATGGTGGCAATGGTCATGGTGGGATACCATACAGTGTACATTCCAGGTAAATAAAGACAACTGGGATTCACCTTGCCTTGCAGAGACTAACAATCTGTAGGGGTGATAGAGAGATAAACAAATTACTTCTTTTGATCAATGCTGTTAGAAATTTGAGCATGATGTTAAATGATTAGGTAGCCAGAAAAACTAAAATCTTGTCTAAAAATACTCTATTAAAATGTTAATTTTCTGAAGTATATAGTAACTCAAGTATCCAAGCACAACTTGGCACCTTCCAAACCACAAGTTCCTCATACATAGAAATTGCATTTTCACAGTTTCTGTTTCTGCATACCCTTTGCAATGACGACAGGCAGTTGGGCTGTAGTATGTGTGAACATTTGCATCCATTCTCTTAGGAATGATTTGAAAAAAGAGAAACTGGGCATTGAACAGACAAAGGGGAAGACAAATGAGCCGCAGAAGAGTAGTGGGGTATTTGCAGCAAAGCCATCAGAAATAATAAACACAATGATCGAGATAAACTTTACCCAGTAATTTTTAGAGGATGTGGGCTACAGAGATTGAATTAAGAGTCGCAGTGGAAGTAGTATAAGGGAGACTACAAGATACTTGCAGAATACATACATACAAATTCAAAACAGCATTGAATATAAAGATTAGAGAAGAAACACAGAGCTGGGGAAGTGCCTTTTGGTACTGGGGACAGAATAATGTAGTACAGTTGACCCTTGAACAATGTGGGGTTAGGGGCACTAATCACCCAACCAGCAGAAAAACCACATAGAATTTTTGACTTCCCAAAAACTAAATTACTAATAACCTACTGTTGACAAGAAATCTTACCAGTAAAAAACTCAATTAACATAAATTTGGTATGCTATATGAATTATATATTCTTACAGAAAAGTAAGCTTAAGAAAAGAAAATATTATTAAGAAAAATCATAAGGAAGAAAAAAGTCATTTACAGTACTGTACAGTATTTATTGAAAAAAATCCACAAGTAGACCCTTGTAGTTCAAACCCATGTTGTTAAAGGGTCAGCTGTATTTGAATTTAGACTCAACTTAGTATGTTTAGGCCACTTATACAAACACTATTACTGTGAAAACTTGTTCAACTTTTTTAATCTTAGTTCTCTATTCTGGAAGATGGGGGTTGTAATGGTAACCAAATAAGGTAGTTGGGATTACTGAGAAAGTGCCCTGAAGCACTTTGCTGGTGACTTATAAATAGCAAAGTAATGTTGGTTCTTGCTGATGGTGATGTTTATTAATACATTTGTTTCCTGCATTTAAGCAAAATGAATATACAGGTATGTCACTCAAATCTGGGGAGAAGGGTATAATACAACACTTGTTATTTCATACATAGCAAGTCATAATTACTAATGTTACCTTTACTTAGAATATATGCTGCCTTTTGTTGTCCTAGTCTACTGAATATAAAAAATTTTTTTCACAAGTATATTACTTTATCTGTTTTCCCAAATCCTGTTTTTCACAAACGGGTTTAAGTTCCTACAGAATTTACCCTACAATTAAAGGATATGATCTACAACTGAAGAAATATAGAATTCCAGAACTCCTTGATTCCATTACCTAATAAATAAAATAATTGGTAACTAATTATGTTAATAGTGCTTTAAAGTGCTTATATATTTGAAATATTCTCCCTGTTGTCATGTATACCCTGTTTCTTCCTTTTCTGATATTGAGTAACTATGAAACTATGCTAATATTTTGATTTAGCACACTTTCCTATGAGCAGAGAATTGTGAGTGGTGTATTAAAGTACATGTCCCATGGGATGGCCTTTCCTCTCCAGCTGTTAGGGGACTCCGCTGACTGTACTCCTGTAAACCTTGTCCATTCTCTGTCTCTATTTATCCTTTTAATTTATTTGTACCTTCAAACAAATTGTAAGCACGTTAGCCTAGATGGTAAGGAACATGTTAAGCAATGTGGAGCAGGAAAAACCAGCACTCACTAGATGCTGAGCTGATTTTTATTGAGTGAATGAATGCTGCCCCTTACATCACTTATCCAGGTCTTAGGCCATGGTCAGCAGTACACCAGTAACTGATTCAATGAATTACTCAGTTAGGAAGGCCTTTAAAAAGTAGCTGAAGATAAAAGTAAATAAAATTTAACAGTAGAATTAACAGTAACCTAATTCCAAAACTATTGTCTATGGAATAGCTGTCTTTCTTTCTGAAGAAGGTTCCCTGCCCTTCCTTAAAGGGTGAAAGCCTTACCCTAGTTGCCTGATTACTAACTGCTCAATAGCTTGCATAAGGTGGCAGGTACAGCCTTCTACCCTGGAAGACTAAAGAGGACTACTGACACAAGGGGCAGTAATTTGAGGCCCTGAATTCAGAGGTATAGACCTTACACACCTCATCTCTTAAAGATCCTATATGTGTTGTTAGGAAAAGGAATAGTATAAACAGGAAACACACTTACTATGTATGTCTAGAAATTGAGTATCCATCTCTTTGTTCACAAGAACTTAAATCATGACACATAATTGTGTAATAAGCAAATGATAGATGTGAATCAACATCAGAAATTACCACCACCCAGCACATGCTGTGATAACCCAATGTGACAGCTAACTTTGCACATGAATAGAAACATGAGAGAGTTTGCAGGTACAACAGTGTACAGCTTAAAAGATTGGCCTGGTATCTGTACGCTCAATATATGCCATTTACGTCCCATAGTGCGATAACTCTCAGCCATAGGTCACAACTGTGCCTTAGAAGCTTAACCCACCGTATGATAGCCTTCCCTCTCCAAGTACCCCTGGAATTGCTGCCATTGGCCAACGTCCAGGAAGAAGATTTGAGCAGCTGCCCTGACAAATGGGTTCCCCCCATTCAAGCCTGCATGTGGGGAGTTTGAAGTGCTTTGCCACATTCTCTGCCTCTAGGTTACTGAAGCTATTTTAAATGATGATAAAGTGTCCCCCTGTGGCACTATCTATTTTTCTTTTTAGAGATACATAACTATATTCAGAATCCTTTTAATGCAGGACATGAGAAAGCATCCTTCTGAAGAAAGTTCAGTTCATCTTTTCTCTTTTTCTTTTTTTTTTTGGCTCTCCCAGACACTAAGGATTGTATCCTGGAACCACTTTCCCTGCCAGAAAGTCCACGTGGCCCCAGCATTTCAGAAGTTTCTCCATCTGTTCCTTGTATATTCTGTGAAGAACACTTTCCTATAGGTGAACAAGACAAACTTCTGAAGCACATGGTTATTGAACATAAGATTGTCATAGCTGATGTCAAGTTGGTTGCCAATTTCCAAAGGTAAATTTTGGTTTTGTCGTTAAAGAACTAAATGTATTATTCCTCAGAGAAAGGCATAACTTATATATAAAATTATTCCTATACAAATATGAAAATTCATTCTTTTTCAGGTCTCTCCTTAGTTTTTTAAAATAAATCTTCATATTCATTTACCTTCTTGAGTGTATACATTGTACTTGAGACTGTCACATACTGTTTCATGTACATAGTCTAGAAAAGACCAGCTTTCCAAGGGTAGGTAATATTCCCTTTGCCACATTCCATGAGATTGTTGCCATCATTGGTCTCTTTCAGACTGATACTCCTGTGATGTTTCAGGCCATAGGCATTCTCCAACTCAGTGAGTCCTTGCAGAAAGCCCAGAAAAGACTTTGGAGAAAAGCCACTCAAATGGCAGTGTTTGGGAGGAGGTATCCTTAGAGCCTTTCAGGCCAAAAGGGTATTGTCCAAACAAGTCTCAGCTTAAATGCTGTGATAAGGGTGAAAACCAGAAAAAGAATTGAGTCATTCAACAAGCCAAAGGGGATACAAGAGTAGATAGCTGCTGAAGTCAGTGACTGAGGTACTGAGAGGAAGACAAGGAAGGTGAAGAGCAGATACAGGTACATGGCTGAGAAACTGCTGACACTGGGCATGAGTTAAATGTAGGCATCTGTCCTGTATAGCCAGGACCCAAAGTGAGCTAGACTCCAGCTTATGGGCACTTGACTTAGAATATACATTCCAACATAAGCAGTTCTTAATTTTTTTCCCCAATTTATAATTCCTAGAAGTAACTGTCCAAAAGAGCCTTATTTTAAGCATATGTAGTGGAATAGTTACATTCATGTCATTATTAGTTGAAACGTGGAAACGTTTTCATAAAAACAAAGTCATGATAGCTAACTGGCTATACATAGTTCCTGGAAGCACACGTTTTGATAAATCTGGTAATTTTGAGATACTCTGCCCTGATTTCCCTGTAAACATTAGAGTAGCTCATGCATTGTAATATCTCTGCATCTAAAGTGTATCTCCTCGACCACATGATTCCACAAGCAATTTCTTGGTAATGATGGGGCTTGCAAAGCAGTTAGCTGTATTATTAAGAGTGAACTGTGAAACCAGGCAGTCCTAGGGTTGAATGCAGACTTCCTAACCGTGTGGCTTCAAGCAAGCTACTTAACTACTCTAAGCATCGGTTTTCTTATCTATAAAATGGAGTTAATACCAGCCTCCATTATTTGAGTATTGATTTTTGAGTATTATACAAAACAGGTTATTATATAAGCTGTATTTAGATAAAACAGGTATTATATAAAACAGGTCATGTATATAGCACCAGCTGGTGCCTGAGACATCTTTTATACCCATTAAATGGTAGCCAAAAAGTTTGTTATATTTTGATTACAAAAGATATATTTGAAATCATAGTTTTCTGCAACTATAGCGTGGATTTGCAGTAAAAATTTATGCTGATCTGGAAACCTAATTATCATTTGTGAAATTCAGCTTTTGAGAAAATTTCATTTAAGGTTCTAAGTACTCTAAACTTCTAGAGTCCCAGTTTGTTTTTAAGTTGGACTAGCCAGAGTGCCCACATAAGTAATATATGCCACCAACTAGTAGAATAAACTTATTCTTACTTTCAGAGGAAGCACACTATGCTTCTCATTCACATTCATTATTCCTTTATTTTCAGTTAAAATATTTGTATGTGTGTGCATGCGTGTGTGTATTCTGGTAGCTTTCTCATATGTGGTACCTAGTTATATGTAGTCAGATCTGTTGTTGGCTCTGTTTTAGACACTTCTTAGGCTAGAGATCTTTCTAATTCTTTTCTTATTCAAATAACCATTGACAGGTCAGATACTCTTTTTTAATTCTTGTATCACCTAGCTTTTCTTTGATGTGAAACCATTCTTCTTATCATATAAATGCAAATTCTCCCACAGGAATTACAGGAAAATTTGGTGATCTACCAGTGATAATTGAGTAACGTTAAGATTTTCTTCTGCTCTTAAAAGCTGTGTGGAAGGTCTGAATCAGAGTTTTTATTTTATTCTTTGTACATATGTATGATTGTTTAGGAACTGTATTTTTACTAATGAATCTCTTTTAATCATTGATATTACTCTCATCAGTATGTGGGCAGGAAAATCAAACTATTTGCTAGGTTTCAGGGCTTAGGATCAATAATTAAATGTTGGAATGAATCACTCTTAAACTGTAGTTATATAATAAAGTGGATGCTTTTATTAAAAAGAAAAAGATACATATCTGATATAAGTGTTTTCTAAGTAAAGTGTGTAGCTAACATGTACTTTAAATTTGTAAACCTAAATTTTCCTTGTCAACTGTCCCAATAAAATAAAAGTTTCACCCTCGGAAAGTAAAAATGTGCTTAATTCAGCTTGACCAGGTATGTATATGAGTCAACTGTTGCTTTTAAATAACTTTTATGTCCAGTCTCCTTTAAATAATAGCTTCCTACTATTAGGAGAACTAAAAATTCCTCTCCAAAACTATCATGCATTGACTATTTGTGATCAGAGTTAAATTGAAATCATCTCAATGTTACATGACTTTTTCCTAACCAGAAAAGCAGTTACTGTGGGGTAGGCGGGGGTGTGTGAAGGGAAGAGTGAGAGTTTCGATTGGCCTAAATTAATTCACCCAGAACTTTATAGGTTAAAAAATTCTCATATGTATATATAAAAGTTCTCAGAAAGGAGTTGTTGCTTCCAAGTACAATAAATATTAAAGATGATAAATAAAAATGAGATGGACTTGTTATTTACAAGAATGTGTTATAAATTTTCGTGTTAAATATATTTGATATTTTCTTTATTGGAACAAAGTAACAGTAAAACTTTCTCAGAGGGAATAAAACAAAAATAATAATAAAAATATTTCCTTTGAGCTATTTAACATATTTATACAGAGCTATTTGCTAGCTTTATTCAATAGTTCACATTTTTCAGGAAGATAAATGTTAACTGCTTAATTCTTATCCCTTTCTATATTAAATGCCACTCACTCAGTGCTGTTTAATTAACAACCATATCTCAAATCTTTATGCCTCTGTCATTAAGCATATAAGTTACAGTGGGGGACTGGGCAGGCAAGATATTACTACAAGGATTTTTTGTGAGACAGTTCTGTGAAACATGATTGAAGTTCTTTAAAAAGAAAAAAATCATTTGCTCACAATCCAGTAATTACTCTTAGCTTTTAATAAAGTATGACATGATTTAGTAAGAGATCACACCACATATTATTTCTTGGTTGCCTTTATATATTGAGTAGCTGCAATTGAAGCTTTAAATAAACTAGAGAAGAAGGAAAAAATGAAGGGAAGTTCTAAATAATACCTTAACATTGAAAAATATGTTTTAGTGGTAGGAAAAGAAGCCCCAGGAAGCATGTATTAAAGATCTGCTACCTTTAAACTATCTCTCAATTGAGTACGATTTATCTGAATACTTCACCAACCACAGGCAAATGTATATATTGACACATCTTAATTCTAATTATAACTAGTTTATACTTCCAAATCAATTATATAAACTATAATGTTTAGGATACATCTTAAATTTAGATGTCAAATGTATGTTGAATTCAGATCTATTTTATATACAATACAACAAGACATGATAATATAATTTTATATATCTAAGTTGTATGGTAATTTATGGTCATATTTTGCTTTTGTAAAATAATATTTTTTTGGATGTTGTCGCCCAATCTTTGGACAGGAAGAGAACACTCAAATCACAACTTGTGCCTATCGGACTGACCTATTGCCTGCTTTATCCTCCTTCATTAAGAAGCTACCTAACAACAGCTCAGAGATGTTCCTAGAGACAGTATCTGAAAAACACCCTTTCCAAAATTCATGACTACTTGTTCATCAAGCAATAAAATAACTTTTAACCAATGTAAACACTGCCAAGCTGTCTTTAATAGTCTATAGAAGACTATAGCAGTCTTCTTTCCCTTCATCCCATGGGAATCTCTCTCTTAGTATTTGAGGAGGGCATCTGAGGTTCTGCCAGACAGAATCTCCCATGCTTTTAAGGCAGTTGATGTTAATAATCACTTTCTTTGTGCCTACCACATTGAAGTAAACTCTGATACAAAATAAGTACCTGATGTGAAACTTCTCTTCAAAGGTCAAGGAGACAGTACCCAAACATGGAAGTTCTTGGAGACTAAGAGCCATTGATTGTTGGAATCAGGACATTGTTACCTCCATAAGGGTACTTATTTACACATCCTGCATAGTCAAGCAGTTCCAGTTCAACAACCCCAAACAGTTGGTGTCAACTTTCAATACTTAGGCAGGATGTTAGGAGCAATTCAAGACCAAGGACTACTATTAGGTTGTATTATGCTTTTTGGGGAAGAAAGACATTCCCTCTTCCTTCAGATTTCATTTTTGTAGCTCAGTTTTGCCTTGTTAAAATGCATTATCCTTGGTATCTAAGGGAAAAAAATGTTTCAAGTATCTATTACAACTATAACTCTAGAGACTTCTTCCTGTGCCTTCCCTTTTCTGCAGTTCTTGTATAGATTGGTCCTCACATGACACTAGAGGCATTGTGTTGTAGAAGATTTGAGTTTGGATTTGGAGCCAATTCTGACATTCTAATTATATGACCTTAAGCAAGTAAGGTCTCAGTAATAGGAGCCACTAATGACTGCCATCCTGATCATCACCATCACTTTATGCTGCCACCACCTTGGCCACCTATATGTGTCTTCTGGCACTACTAATATACCTATTTTGACTTACTCATTAAATGTTTGATGAAATATCATTGTTTTTGTTAATTTTTTGGACCAGTATTTCTGTAGTATAAATATAAATTATTCACTATTTTAATCTTAAATAAGTTACTTATTATAACAATAACTACCATGTATTGAACACCCAGGATGTTAGACACTGCTTTACATGTATTATCCTGTTTATTTATCAGCAATTCAGTTTCCAGATGAGTAAACTGAGTTTCACAAAGGCCAAAAACTTTAAATTCAGGTTCATATATCTGAATGCGAAGTGCCTGCTCCTCCATTCACTACTGCCTGCTGGGCTGCTAGTCAGTTATTAAAACATCAGTTATGAGGGTTTGTCCATAGTCTTCATTGTTGTTTTAAGTCAGTTATCCCAGCACCTGTATAAATTCCTGCTGTATGGATTTGGTCACGAGATAGAAGTCTGTGTGTTTCCATTTGGATGGCACTCCATCTTCTATCCCTACCGTCTATAGTATGGGTTCTCCTATTTTCATTCATCCCTGTCACCCCTTTGTAATAGAAAATATGCTGAGGAGAGAATAAGAGAAGTGGCTGGGAATGTCATTTTTACTCTCTTAAGTCTTCTCTTGCCTTTTACTTCTGCCCTTTTCTCTCTCTTCCGGGGAGAAAAGAAAGCAACTAGTGGGGTATAGAAAAGAGGAGAGAGACTAAGAGTACCTGTGTAACATACTGAGGAGTGGAGGCTGGCCCAGGGTGCCAAGGAAATAATGTTTCAGCCTTTTGTAAGTACTTTCCCTCTTTTTTGTATACTTTGATGGCTCTGATAGGCACTTGCCTTATGTTTCTGATACTTCTACTATGGAAGCCAGTGAGCTAGGCATACGGTCATAGCCATCATTTAGAGTCACGGTACATCATTTATAGCTTTTATGGCTTGAGACTTAGCTGTAGTCTAAGATACATCACGTTCAGATCTCCTAAGAGAAGGCCTAGCACTATTCTATAAGGAAAAATTTCTCCCCTTACTTACCTGCCCAGGGTGACTGTGACTGTACACGAGAAAAAGAACTAAAATGTATCGTTCTATTTTTATATATTCTTTTACTTTTTTACTTATATATTCTATACTGTGTTATTCATATATATTTAAGTTTTATATTAGCTCATGTCACAATTCTCTCTTTCTCTCAGACCTCCCAGCAGATATTTTTTTCCTAATGTATGACTGCCCTTTTTATAGAGCACCATAGAATTGGAAAATTAATATTAAGAAAAGGGGAGGTAAGAATAAAAAAGAGACAAAATATTGGGACTTGGAGGCTACTTAGAGAACCTTACAGGAATCTTCACATGCTCTTCTACCTCTTTAAAACATTTGTTGTGGACCTGTTATTTGTGCAAAACACTGGTATATCAACCCACTTAAAATGTCCAAATTTCTATTCTTTTTGTACACTTCATCTATTTCTTCTGTTTCTGAGTCTCATCTCTTACACAGATTTTGGTTCTTGCTGTAAGTTCTTTTTTCATCTATCAGCCGTGTAGCCTGGTAAATTGTCAACTATAGAGTCAACATTTCCAGTTTCTTTCTTGCCATGAAGAAGACCACATTTTCTTCTTGGTACCATTTGATAAATGAGATTGCAATTGCCAATATAAATCTTTCTAGATAATTTAACAGCTTGTTGAATCCCGTCATCTTACTCTCTCTTTCTTCAGATAGTGCAGGTCTGGGTGTTAGGCTTTGATTTAAATTTACCCAGTGTGCTTCTAACTCTGCTCATTAGATACAAGAATTGTAAGCTTGACTATTCTCCAAATGCAAAATTTGCTTCATTTCAGATAGAGTATGGTTGTGTGAAGGTTTTCTACCTTACTCTGTAGATAATGAATTTACACTGACTCCTCATTGCATTATTATTATGACCTCTATTCTTTTGATGTAAAAGATACCAACCAACTTTCATTTTATTGGAAAATATGTAATAAAGCCTATTTAATCCTTGTTGTATTTTAAATTCAGATAAACTGAGGTGTGATTTCAGAAAAATTTCATTATCACATAAAAATAACTCATTTCAACTTTCCCATATGTCTGTTCATTGAATTTGGGGATAGTAAAGTTTAATCATTTCCATGCCTTTAACAGGATAATTTCATATCATTAAATATTTATTTCATATTTCTGCAATGCTCTACTGCCTTACTGCTTACACATTTTCTAGTGGTTTTCCATCAACATTTGATTTGTTGCTTTGGGATAATTAAATATTCTTATAAAATCCCATCATTCTAAAATAGTGTATTGAGTTTTCTCATCATCCTTTTTTTTTTTTATTCTAAGGTACATTTTATATTGGAGGAAAAGGTTCACTGAACAGCCCATTACAGACTTTTGTAGTGTGATAAGAATCAATTCCACAGCTCCACTTGGTAAGTGTACATCTTGGCTACCGTCTTTTTCCTACAACCCAAAAATTCAAAGGAATAATACTGCTTTCTTAAATTAGGATTATCTCACTTTCATGATAGCTAAAATTAAATTGCTGTATTTATGTTGTCTAACTTCAATAAAGCTGAAAGAGAAGTATTTACCAGAAGAAATCCTTCTGGAAAAAAATGATAAATACTATTTCTCATTTATTTTCCTAATCTCTCAACAGAGGAACAAGACAATTATTTTCTGTTATGTGATGTTTTACCTGAAGATAGAATACTTAGAGAAGAACTTCAGAAACAGAGACTGGTAAGAATTATTTTAAAGGATGAACAGTGTGTTGGGAATGCATACAAAACCATTTTTGTCATTCTTTGTTTTTATTCTGAAAATTTTCAAATACACAAAAGAGGAGACAATACATACAGATCTTTAAAAAAATGTACACTTAATTAAAGATTAAAGCATTTCTTGTTTAAAATGCAGAAAGAATTTTGGGCTTGGTTTTGCTTCCTGGATTATTTCTAAAATAACAGCAGAGCTTACAAATTTTAGTGTAATTTTAGCTGCCTGACACATGCTAGGGTTCAGCAGTCGTGGAAAAATGCCCTTGGCTAAAATTGAGCTGAATTGATTAACTTTTTCTCCTCTTCTCTGGAATGTGTTGTGCACTAGCACCTCTTTTATTCCCCTCTGTGTATTAAGCATTTGGTTTTATCATAGTAGCCTTTCTCATTTTTAGCCTTAACCATAAGCAAGCTAATTTGAAAATCTGAGCATCTTTAGTTTGAAAAAAGGTAACAGCATATACAAGTGTGAAAATGTTCATTTTCATAAATTGAACAGAAACTGGTTAAGTTTTTGAATTTATTAATTTTGTTTAAAAGTATGCAGTTTTCTATTGTTTGTGACCCAATCTCAACTACTACTTGAAAATGTCTTGTTTACTTGTAAGTGTTCCTTGTACCTTTGGGCTTGGCTAGATGCCTCATGAGAGAGATCTGTGATTTCAATGTTTCTGCTGAATTCTCAAGACATCTAGAAGGAAGATAAATTCTGTGTACCATAGTCACGTTATTTTTAAAAGTCCCCTGAAGCACCTTATATTTTGTGAACATCCCAAGCGATTATTTCTCCCATAAGGAGATGTGATATTGTTGATGTTGGTATATACATAAGAAAAATTATGCTTTTCCTGCAGTAACAAACCCAGTAAAGAAAAAGGGCTTCCTGAGTCTCACCTTTCCCTGTTACAGAGTCTTAAGAAATCTGCAAAACAAGGATGAATTTATTGTCATATTTTATGGATTTTGTTTGCTTGTACTTATTCATGATTTTTTATTCCCATGAGTTTTTTCATTCTTGCTCACAGGGGCCTTAACGAGGACTGAGCATCCTGTCATAATCCTAGTACCCCCAAGGATTTCTTTATAAGAACTCAAACCCTACAACTTCAGGCATTGCTGTTATCCAGTACACAGAATCCTTACTCTGTGTCTGCAGATAGACTCAGGCCCTAGAAATTTTATATCTGTACAATTTTAGAAGCTTCTGACACCCAATTCCAACATGTGGGTTTTTCTGTCACATCATCAAACAATTCTCCGACACCAGGTGAGTGGCCAACAATTCAACTCAGTTCTGACACTACCCAGAGATAGTATCAGATTCCATGGGGTTCAAGGCTCAGTCCACAAAACTGCACTCCACTTCATATGTCAATCACAAGTCCAAGTTGTTACCCCTCTTCTAACCAACTGGCTATAAATAAGAGGTTCCCATGACTCCCCCTCCCAGGGTTCCATTAATTTTCTACAGCGGCTCACAGAACTTAGGAAACCAGTTTACAAACTAGATTACCAGTTTATTTCAAAAGATATTAAAGAATGTGAATCAACAACCAGATGAAGTGATACATGGGATGAAGTCCCTAACAAAGGAGCCTCAGTCCCTGTAGAGTTTGGGGCCGGGCAAGATAGCACATGGATGTGTTCTGGTTCATCAACCTGGAAGTTCTCTGAAACCTGTCCTTTTGGGGCCCTATGGAGGCTTCATTCCTTAGACATGATTGACTAAATCATTGACCATTGGTACCTGGACTCCATCACTATCTCCTCTAGAAGCGTGGAGCTGACAGGTCCAGCCCTAGTCTAATCACATGGTTGGCTCCCTGGCAACCAGCCTTTAGCTCTGTGCTTTCCAAAAAGTTACCTCATTAACATAACAAAAAACACTTAAAGTTCTGAGCACTTAGGAATTTCAAAGGATTTTAGGAGCTATGTGCCAGAAACAGGGACAAAGACCAGATATATATTTCTTATTATAAATCACAGCATCACACCTTTTTGCCAACTTCATAGACTAACAGAGTGATAGATTTAATGAAAGTGAGCATTATAGCAGCTTAAAAGAAAATATGATGAAATTGCAGTCAGTTCATACATAATGTGCATATTCATTGGATTGCTGATTAACTAGATTATCACGGGAAGTACAAGACGTGGTTCATGTCATAAAAGAATATACAGTCTACAGAAAAAAGGCAAATATGTGTTCTTGGTACTGGAGATATCTTTTAGAGCTTGTGAAGGTTAAGTGAGATAATCATGTAATGTGCTTAGAATGGTATCTGCCACATAGAAAGTACCCAATAAATGTCGCCCATAGTACAAATAACAGTAGTACTGTGTCTTAACAATGAGATGGATTTGGGTGGTTGGAGAATTGTAGAAAAGGAAGGGAGAAGGTATACGGATCTAAATGTTCAACGTACATTCAAGAAAGTTAATTTTTAGTCTAGTCTGGCTGAAGTAGAAAGATTTTTTGAAGAGGTAAGGTGGAGAAAAATTGTGGGAATCCTTCAGTGCCAAAAACATCGACTTTGTAGTGATAAGGACCCAATGATGTCTTTTCAGTCCCCATGAGAGAGAAATAAAGAAAAGATGATATATGAAACTGTATAAAAATCCATTAAAGCTGATAAATCCTGGCAAAGAACAGAGCAATTTAGTCATCTGGTAAGATGTTAACAATACTGAGTGCCAGCCATATGCCATGCTTTGCATTAGGTCCTTGCTTCATAGCAACCCTGTGTGGTAGCTGTTAAATGCTGTTCAGTTGATGAGGAAAGTTTAATTTGCCCAGGACCACATAGTGAATGAGGAGAGCTGGGACTAAACCTAATATGCCTGATACATGCCTTTTTAAGCCATTCTATGCCTGGTTAGTAGTTTCCCACTTGCCTGTGCTCTTATTCTAGGCCCTGGGAATTGCTCTGTCCTGTATGTTCATTGTCTGACAGGTCTGTGTAGAGAGGGAATTCGGACTAAGATGAAAGTTTAGGGAAAGCAGAGGAGGTTTACAATAGGCTGCCAGTGGGAATTATGGCGAGAGGATCAGCAAAAAGAAAATATACACCGAATAGCCAGAAGACAGGTTGAATTTGTAGTCAGCCATTTCAGCATAATTTTATGCTCTAATAGTGTGGAAGCTTGAGGTTAGTGTGGGTGATCTTTCTTTGGGAGTTGGTAATGATGACAAGATGTCTCTCTTTTATATATGTAGCAAGCTCTGTAAATCAGTAACAGGCATTTCTAGAAAGAAGTCCAAATGATCAAATGAAACAACTTTGAACAAAAGGAAGAATATGCCTTTTTTTTCTGTCAAGTTAACAAAATTGAAAAAATTATACAAAATTGAAAAAATAGTGCTAAGAATGTTAAACAAAAAGCAATTATTCAGCTTCCTTTAAGAGTGTGAACTGGTATACCACTCCTTAAAGGTGCTTTGTTATCATGTATTGGGAAATCTTCAAGATATTTATGCCCTTGGTCTCCCTGTAATAACTCATCCTAGGAGAATCATACACACAAAGGGTTGCAAAGTCACGTACTATGGCTTGACTGTTTTTTTCCTTATTTGCTAATAATTGTGTTTTATCAAACAATTTCTCTTCATTAATCAGAGTTTCAGTCTAGCTTCCAGAAAATGTAGTTTAAATCAATTAATTGCTTTATGGTAATGCATGTATCATCCAGTCTATGTTTGTATAAACTCAGTTCAATGTCAGAATTTCAATTCAAGTCCATGAGGGAGGACCCTCAAACTAGAGTAAGTAGTGTGGCATTTGCTTTCCTACTTTGCAGTAATGATAACTTATGTATGTATCATTCTTTCATATTTACTCTCATTTAGAGCTCTAAATTATTCAGTTTAAGTTCCTATGTATAATTTGTCCTTGCTTCTACATGACCATGTAACTTTGACGGCAGGAATTATGTCTCATATTTAAATATCCTTCAGCAGCACTCACCATATTGCTAAGTTGTTGTAGATATACTGCTAAGTTGGTGTAGATATTTTTCCCCAACTCCCTTTTTTTAAAATATTCCTATTTCTCTGTAAATGGCTGATGCATATAGAATCTAAATGATCCACTACAGTTAACATAGCAGAATTAAGACTAGAAACATAATTCAACTTTCCATTTTCTTCTAGACCTTACTGGTTCCTTGTGACATTTGTGAGATTTACATGTATTCTCAGTTTTCTTTGTGAAAAGCCTGATTCCTACTTGACACTTCCTTGAATTTTCTTCTGCATCCTGAAGGGAACTACAGAATTTGGAAAGATTCTTGAGTGTTTGAATAGCTTGTACACCTTCCTCCCTTTAACTTTCTTCTTTACAACTTTTCCCTTGGTCTCTTCATTCTCCCTTAATCTCCTTCAGTGGCTCTTTACCCTCTTTTCTCTCCGGTGGCTACATGTAAATTTCCCAAAGTCTTGTTCCCCAACCAGGGTATCTACTCTCATACCTGCTGCTATGCTAAATGTTTAGGTTTTGGTGCTGGTACTCAGTAGGCAATCAGAGTAAATATCTATTGATGGAGTTCATCTCCAGCTTTCATCCTGGCTTACCTCTGAACCCCAATTCTAATTTCCCTTATGTTGAACTTTTCCTTATGGGTTTCTAGTCAACACTTTGCTTAAGTTTAAAGTACCTAAAACTGGACTTAAGTTTTTCTCTACCAAAATTTACAGTGTGCTTGTTTACCTTTTCTTACATAATGATACCACCATTCTTTTGGTCACTCAGTTTGGAAATTTCTAGAATCATCTAACTCATTCCTTTTCCTCATCCCCATACTTAAGTCATTTGTCAGATCCTGTCAGTTCTATCTCTGAATCCCATATCCATACCCTTGCTTGCATTCCTAGTACCCTTTATCTTACCTTGCCTGTGGACATTGCCTTCACAATTTTACTATTAAAACATAGCAGATCATTTTATTCTCTTCTAAATCTTACAG